GGTTCGGGTCCTGATCCCAGAGTCCTGGGATTGAGCCCTGCATCGGGCTCTCTGCTCGGCGGGGAGCCTGCTTCCTCCCCTCTCTCTCTCTCTAACTGCCTTTCCACCTACTTGTGATCTCTGTCAAATAAATAAATAAAATCTTAAAAAAAAACACAACAAAACAAACAAAAATGAAAATAAAAAAAAAACTAGTGTGAAATCATAGTATATTATGAAATACCTTGTCATGGTTAAAAAAGAAAGAGGTGAATTTATATGTGGAGTGGCATGTGGACTGATGTGGAATAATCTCTACAATGTATTGTTAAAATGATAAAAGAAAGGACGCCTGGGTGGCTCTGTCAGTGAGTTAAGCATCTGCCTTCGGCTCAGATTACAATCCCAGGGTCCTGGGATCAAGTCCTGCATCAGGCTCCCTGTTCAGCAGGGAGCCTGCTTCTCCCTCTGCCCTTTCCCCCCACTTATGCTTTCTCTCTCTGGCAAAAAAGAAAAAAAAAAAAAAAAAAAAAGATAAAAGAAAAATGAGCACTCTAATGGTAAGTTTGCTACCATGTGCTTCTAAGTAGGGGGAAGTATAAATGTGTGTGAACACTGTGTATACGTGAGCATATACATGCCTGTGGGGGATACAGTCACATCCTTATACAGAGTATGCTTGCATATACACAGATGATCCCTGGAAAGATATGGAAGAAACTGGGAACAATTGTTGTCTCTGGAAGGAGAATTAAGGGAGAGAAGAGAGATGAAGTTTTCACTACAGACACTTTGTTATCTGAGCAATTTTTTTTTTAACATGAGTAAGTATCATGTGTCCAAAAACTTAGTAAGATGCTAACAAATAGCGCTTCATCTCAATCATTGGACAAAGAATCAACATTCTGAAACAGAATCCACTACAGAGTTCCTGTCTGTGAATTAGAGACCCCAGTTTGCTTTAGAGGAGAGTCTTTAAAGAATGAAAGAACATGACAGAGAGGGAGGGATTACCCATTTAAATCAGGTTAAAAAATATTAGATAAACAAGTTGCAAAGGGTGTGTTGTTATAATTCTCCCTTGGGTGTGCCATGGTGTAGTACTATACATGGCTTCAGATTTCAAGTATCATAAGGACTGTTAAATTAAGAGCTTCTCTTACATTTTTTTTTAAAGATTTATTTATTAGAGAGAGAGAGAGAGAGAGAGGCAGGCAGAGGGAGAGGGAGAAGCAGTCTCCCCACTGAACAGAGAGCCTGATGCAGGGCTTGATCCTAGGTCCCTGAGATCATGACCTGAGCCGAAGGTAGATGCTTAACTGACTAACTGAGCTACCCAGGTGCCCCAAGAGCTACTCTTATTATGTAATTTTTATCTAAAGTTAAGTAAACTTAACTTTACAGTTTAGTTAAGTAAACTTAACTTTACTATTTACTTTTTCTTCTTAGAAAGTCATGCATGCTCATTATAGAAACTCCAGAAAGTGTAAGTAAAGTATAAAGAGGAAGGAAAATTAATTACCCAGAATATTGCCAACCAGAGACAACCACTATTAATATTTTGGCATTTCCTTTTATTCTTTTTGTTTGTTTTGTTTTTACATAGTTGATATTAGTCTGTATGTGTTATTTTGCTTCCTTGGTATTTTTCCTCCTTAATATTACATCAAAACTTACTTCTCCCGTTGTGAAAACTCTCGGTAAACACAACTTATAATGGCTGGATAACATTCTACATCTCCTGAGATGATTATTCTTTTAATCTGTTATTGTGGCAAATTATCTTGACTTGTTTTTTTTTTTTTTTTTTTTTAAAGTAGGCTCCATGCCCAGTGAGTGGCTCGAACTTCCAACCATGAGATCAAGACCTGACTTGAGATCAAGAGTTGGATGCTTAACCGACTAAGCCACCCAGGCAACCCTTGACTGGGTTTTTCTAAAGTCACACTAACCTTGTGCTCTTTGAATAAACCCAACTTGGGTGGGGGGCGCCTGGGTGGCTCAGTGGGTTAAGCCTCTGCCTTCGGCTCAGGTCATGATCTCAGGGTCCTGGGATTGAGCCTCACATTGGGCTCTCTGCTCAATGGGGAGCCTGCTTCCGCCTCTCTCTCTGCCTGCCTCTCTGCCTACTTGTGTTCACTCACTCTCTGTCAAATAAATAAATAAAATCTTTTAAAAAAACCCAAAAAACCCCAACTTGGGAATGCTGTATTATTCCCTTAATATATTACTGGATTCAGTCTAATATTTTATTTAGGATATTTGTATCTATTTAAATTTTCTTTGTTGCATAGTATTTATTAGGGTCTGGTAACAAGACTGAGATAGTCTCTTAAAATGAAATGGAGAGTGTCACTTCTTTTTCTAGTCTTTGGAATAGCTGATGTAAGACTGGAGTTACTTCTTCCTTAAGTGTTTGATACAACTAGCCAGTGAAATCATCTGGGCCAGATTTTCCTTTGTGGGAAGGTTTTTAATTATGAATTCAATTTTCAAAATAGTTGTGAGTATACTCAAGTTTTCTATTTCATCTTGTGTCAATTTTGGTAAGTTGAGTTTTTTTCTTTTTAAGGACTTTGTCCTCTTCGTCTACATTTTCACAATTTTTGGCATGGAGGCTTTCAAAAATAATTCCTATTACCTGTTTATTAACTGCAGATCCTTGATAATAAAAGTATACCTCCTTTTTATTTTATTACTATTTGTTTCTGTTATTTCTTCCTTGTCTTTGATCTATTTCATCAGAGGTTTAGTAATTCATTAATCTTTTCCAAGAACTAATTTTTGGTTTTGATGTCTCTAAATCTTCTATTTCCTTAATTTATGCTCTTTATTGCTTCCTTCCTTTTATTCTCTTTACATTTCTTTATTTGGTTTCTTTTCTAATTTCTCGAACTAAATGCTTATAAGCTTATCACTTTTTGGCCTTTCTTCTTTTGTAATATATGAATTTGAATGCTATAAAATTTCCTTTGAATACAGCAGCCCTCAAATTTGGGGGATGTCAGGGTAAAATTGTTCCTAGGTATTCATCTCAGTTCTTTCGGTTCAATCTTCTCCCAAATATAGACCATATTTTTTATCTCTTGCTTTCTGATGACTTTAGTGTGATGATTTATATTTTTTAATCAGCTTTTTAAGTTACCTTCAGTGGGAGAATTTATTCAAATTACTTGGTCTGCCTTTACCAAATGGTGATGTGATGTGCTCTGCACAATTTTCCAATATAGGGATATACCGTAAGTTATCTAACTACTCTTCTAGTGTTAGATAATATAAATATCTAACAACTATCAATATACACATACATTTATTGCATTTCAGATTTTTTTCTCCTTAAGACAGATTTCCATAAGCAGAAATACTGGGGAAAACATTTTTAGGTCTCTAGATACTTTTGCAGTTACATTAACTTGCACTAGTCACTGGTATTTGAATATGCCTATTTCTTCCCAGCAGTAAGGACTCTTTTTGAACTACCCAGCTTATTTGACAGGTGAAAAGTATTCCACTGTTGCTCTAAAATGTTTTTATCTTACATTGTTGATAGGGATAAACATTTTTTGTTTACTACTTATTTGAATTTTTTATACCGTTTGGGAATCCAATTGATTTTTATTTCTCTGCATGTTTATATAAGATATTCATAACTGGCTGTAGACTGTGGGGACACCAACCTTCTGCCTTCAAGAATTTGCTGCTAAATGCAAAGATCAGGGACACCTGGGTGGCTCAGTTGGTTAAGTGACTGTCTTCGGCTCAGGTCATGATTGGGGAGTCCCAGGACTGAATCCCGCACTGGGCTCCCTGCTCAGCAGGGAGTCAGCTTCTTCCTCTGACCCACCCCCTCTCACGCTCTCTCTCTCAAATAAATAAATAAAATCTTTGAAAAAAACAAATGCAAGGATCATGTTTCACCATCCCGGCGAAACTTCTGCATGCCTCTCCAGAAGAGGCTGTCAAGGCCTCGCGTCAGTGAGTAGCAAGCTGGTCTTGCTTAGAGGGTCAGTGGCATGACTAAAAACTGCCATTCATTCACTCATTCAATCTATATTGACTAAGCTCCTACAGTACTGACCTATAGTGGATGATGAGTGAATATTTGCTGAAATAATGAGGGACAACCTGCATGGGTCAAGGACACCCTCATAGACCTGACAACCTAGTTGGGGGACAGACATCAAATGATCATTGAGAAAAATATATAATCATAAGCCGAAATATATAAAATGAAGAAAAAGTAGTCTACTCTATGACCGAACAGAATAGGATACCCAAGTGAGGAATGGATCAGGTTTAGGTGAGGGGGGGGTGGAGGGAATCACAGGTGGTCTATTTGAAGATGTGACATTTGAATTGAGACAAATGATGAGAAACGGGTAACAGGAGTGGGGGAAGTGTGCTCCCTGCAGAAGAAATAGCCTGTGTAAATGTCCCAAAGCGGGAATGACAGTGGAGAGTTGGCTGCCCTAATCTCAGTTTTCACATCCTTGTTCCTTGAGTCAGTGGGAGTATAGAGGAGGGAGTAGCAAAGATTCACAACTAGAAAAGTAAAGAAGAAATGAACTGAAGTTTTAAAAAGACTTACAGCATAGTTCTAGGAACCACTACACGGCCTACTGCTAAGGCATATGCAAACAGAATTTTCTAAAACTAGAAGTCTGAACAGTGATACTGACAGGGCCAGTTGTTTTATATACAAAATAGTCTTGGCCTCAGAAAAGGCCTCATATTTATTTCTAAGCTGTTTCCGGGGCTGCTCCTAACTTAAGAAGATACAGCTTAACAGAAAAATATCAATCACACAGTACTAAACAGGATGCAGACTTTTTACCAAAATGTATACAGTCAATCATTTCACTTGGAACACACTTTTGGCACAAAGGCTGAGATCTGTCTTGGAAAACAAAGTCATTTCAAATCTGCCTGGGGAAGCGAGACCAGTGAGCGTTCCCAAACACAGGACTCCTAAGCATGTTTGCAACGGACAAAGCAGGCATGGAGCGAGGAGGCCAACGTACTGTTCTCTCGGACCAAGCAGAACTCCCATGCGCTCTGGCTCTCCAAAGTGCTCTCCAGGTCCACGGCGACATTGGGCTCGCTCTGCTTCTCCAGGCGGTACTGAGGGCCTGGAAGATCAAAGGGGCAGGAGGAGGGGAGGAAGTCTGAAACAATGAATTTGACATTGAAAAAACACCACATACTCGCGAAAAGCTGATAAAGCACTAGGAAAACGATGAAGTCTGTCTGAGAGGGTCTAGCTATCCAAGATGGAAGAGTTTGGGGTTTTTTTTCCACAAGGTTTTACACAATTGTCTGTTCTATTATCAGCTCTCTTTTTGCTCAGATCCCCCAAACAAGGTGAGAGGCAGATGGCTTTTGAGCTGGCTTGACTTGGAATTGCAACATGGCTACATGGGTTCTCAGATATCAGCAAGTAACCTACTGTCTCCGAGCCTCTGTTTCCTAATATGTAATGGGGGGGCTATTTATACCTTAAGGATTACTCTGAAGATTACAGATGATACAGAAAAAATACTTAGTATGCACCTGCCTCCTAGGAGGCACTCCCACAGAAGTACTTATGAATAATCATTATATAATAATGAATAATCAATTAGAAGCAGGAAGTATGTTCAGACCTCTAATATGATTATAGCCCAAAATCTTTTAAAAAATTTAAAAGGCAGGTGAGGTAAAAACAAACAAACAAACAAAAATCTCTGATTTCTGGGTGATGGTAATAGACAGTAGCTGCTGATTCATGTTTTTGTTGAAACATTCATGAAAACACAAAGACACCGGTTCAATAATACTGAAAACCAGGAATACTAGCTAGCCTGTGTCACATAGGGGCTTCTGGCAGATCTTAATAAAACACTGGGGCATTTTATACATTTATTCATGTATTTCTTTGTCAAGCCAAATGACAATCTTGTTCTTCTCAGATAACACCTAACGGGTCCAATGATCAGATTCAAAAGACTGCTCTTGTTGTTAATGGTTATTGAAAAGATTAGAGGTGTAAAAAACTGTCTTATTATTTTGACTATGAAAGGCGTGTTTAGTCAGACAGAGGGGAGGTGTAAGAGATCTGAGGAAAGTATCAGAGGCCTTCCAGGGCTCCCAGGCGGAACACATATTTTTAGATATGTTCTTCAGCTGTTGTCAACTTGTTATTCATATGCAGTACTACTCCTTCACTAGTTGGAGGCATTTCACTCACCTCCTCCATGTCATTCTCCTCCCCTATGTTCTACGTCCATCGAGAGCACTGTCATGTCATGTCAGTTTCATGGGACAGTCTATCTCTTCTCTAATTGGTATGTCATCAGCAAGTCTCAGAGTTCTCACACACACGAGTCTTTTGTACACTACTTACAGCTCTTAAACTTTTACTAAGTCAACAGTGCTCAAAACACTATCTGTTTACAAAAATACACACTCAGGAACCTACATAATTCTTATAAACTCTAATACACTATATACAGGCCAAGAGGGTACTGTATTTCAACATTATACAGTTAAATTTTCATTTCAAAAATATTTAGCAAAAAAAGGTATGTAAACACTGATAATTCCCAGTCTCAGATATCTGTCACCTATCATCGACTTTTGTCAATTACCAGGCATGTTAATTGCTGATTCCTGATATCCCCATACTCACTGAGGGAAAGTCATCACAGAAAAATCATGCCGAGCTGAACTTCCAGAAAACTTAACTGGTGAGAAGAGTTCTATGCACTCTCTCTTTTCTTTCCTTTCCTCTCCCAGCACTCACCTTTTATAGCTGTGGGCCTCTTCAAGCCCATTAGGGGAAGGGAGTCACTGCTGACCCTAGAGCACCTCTTTGTGAGACACGGGTCTGCTAAACAATTTTGGACTGCTCCATCCCCAGTACCTCTCAGCAACACAGTGTGCCGGACAGTAACAGCCACCTCTGTGAATTTACAGTACAAAGTTTAGCTGTAATAATTCACTTTCTTATGACAGCCAAAATTTGGGAACACCCTAAATGTAACAATAGGAGACTGGTTAAACAAAATATTATGAAAATCCATAAAGATATTAAAAGTGATGCTGCAAAAATGCTTAATTTTATAAAATATGTTTATAATATGCTACTTTATGAAAACAGCAAATTATAACACAGTATGTGCAGGAAGGCTACAATTGTGAAAAAAAACATGTGTAAAATCACAGGGGAAAAAAGACCGCAAGGTTATTTCCAGCATGTGAATAGCGCTTACACTGGATGGTGGGATAATGAGTGTTTTTATTTTTCCTTAGTGTTTTTCTGTACTTTTCACATTTCCTATAATAAATAAAGGCTAGTTTTATAATTTAAAATACATCATCTATACTTGCAAGTCCTCTGATTTCTTACTATGGCATTTTTCTGAGGATACCATAATTATCACACACTGTGGCTTCTCTAATGGGTCTTTCATGTGATAATCAAAACCAGACATTTATCAGTTTACGTAGATCGCTATGTTCATCAAGTAACCCTGCAACCTAGGCTTACTTAGTCTGACTCTGAGCACAGCGTACAGGGGGCTGGGCTTCTCAAGCTGTCTGCCTACCTGAGAGCGGGGCTATAAATAAGCCACCACTTTCTTGATCGCTGTGTATCAGGCTGGTCTCCTTTGCACTCTTTCCTTCCAGGCTCTGCAGCTGCCTGGGAGACGTGAGGAGGGAAACCAGGGAAGGCAGGGAGTAGTAGGAAGGGTTTCTAGTCCTTAAACATGATGAGCCCCCTGTACCACTCTCAAAGCCATAACTGCCATCATTCAACTTTACTCTCTTATTTCTTGGGTCTTGCAGATATTTCTATTGAAATAGTTTGTTTCGTGAAAGTAGCTTTAGCATTTTCTCCTTGAAGCCTAATATGATGATGACTCTCACGTACTGAATGGCCATTCATTATATGCCAAGCATTCTGCATGTTACCTTGGTGTATGCTCCCAACAACTCTAAGAGGCAGATATTATTATTCCCATTTCACAGATTGGGACCCTAAAGGTTGGCAGGTTGAAGTAACTTGGCCAAGATCACAAAGGTAGGAAGTAGGGCAGGGGGAATAAAACCCAAGGGTCTTGGGCTCTAAAGCCTCTGTGTTTTAAATCTTTTTTCCTCTAGCAAATATAAATTACTGGCCAATTATAAAGAGGCCATTGTTTATACTGTAAGTATAGATTTTTGTAGATTTGTAGTTTCATTTGGGTTCTGAATCACTTAACTTGTGGTTTCTATAAATTCAAAATGAAAATGATCTGAAATAATTTATTTTAATGAAATCCATACATACTGATTTATCCTGTCCAACGGCTGTAACTTGGGTCCTTATGAAGACAGGGTCACCTTATTTTCCCCCTCCATCCAGAAAGACTCTCTCCCTCCATCTTTCCTTAAGAATATTCCTATGTGTGCCCAGTTTTGTCATTAAATTGAAATTTCGAGTGTCATTTTCTGCCCTGCTCTTCCATAAAAGCTGAAGACCAACTTGGAAACCCATTTCTGAGCTTAGCAAAGGACTGATGAGTCTTGACTTTGGAGAAGGCAGGGTGGTTAAGTCGTAGATGAGACTTGAGATCGAAATCCAAATGGAAAACTGCCTCTTACAATATCAATTTCACTCCTAATTCTTGCCCAGGGGATAAAACATCTCACATAGAAGGACTGTTGCATGAATTTTCCTCTGAAAAAGCCAGATGGATAAGTTCAGGCCACATCATGTAATGAGAGGCAGTGTATGTATGAGAAACAATATAACCTGGTGGTTAGGGGCACGGACTTGGGGCCAGATTGCCTCATTCTACTCCTGGCTTATCAACTTAGCTGTATGACTGTGGGGCAACTCAGTATCTCTCAGTTTCTTCATCTCTAAAATGGGAATCAGTTTCTTCATCTCTAAAATGGGAATAATAATATATCATAGGCCTATCTGAGGATTCAATGAGTTAACAGCTGTAAAGCAGTTAAAACAGTATCTGATACATTAATAGTGTTATGTAAGTGTCAGCTATCCACCACAGCCGCCTCTCGGGACCATAACAATACTAAGAGATCATAACATAGCCGGGCCTGCTACTGTATGCCAGGTACTGTGCTAGGCCTTTCATACAGATGATCTGATTTGTCACCCTAGCATGTAAAGAATATGAATTCCATTTCATGCAAGAAGAAACTGGAACCAACAAAGGCTGAATAATGGGCATAAAGAAGGTCCCATAGGAAGTAGAGGAATGAGGATTCACAGCCGGGCTGCCCCAGCCTGTGCTCTGTAATACCTGCAGACCATACCGCCTCCCTCATAACAAGCTCTTAATAAACGTCTGGTGATGATAATCAAGACTACGACAGCCCAGACCCACTAGATCTATCAACCTACAGTCTCTATCAAATGCTTAATTTTCAGGCAGCTAACATGGGAGAAAAGAAAAAAGAGCAGTCAAAACCACTTTAGAAAGCAAGCTGTGAGGTCAGTTTCTATTAATATATTTTTGCCAAGGAAACGATTATATAAAATAAAAAAGTCTCCTTCACACTGAACAGGACATAGTTCTCAAGGCAACATCCACCTTTAGAAAGAGGTTTTAAAATGTCACAGCTGCACATGAAGCCACATGCCCTCTACTTCACAGTGGATGTGGACACAAAAGGAAGATTCTGGGAAGCAGTTACTGCGTGGCAACAGGAAAACCTGCTTGGGCATTCCAATGATGTATTTATTGCAGTAATACCATGTCACTGGATGGTCTAGGAACAAAATACTGCTCTGGACACTTAGGGAGGGATCCAAGTTATAATACCCAGGCAGGATTTTTATGGGATTTTGTAAACCTGAGGCAAACGTCTCAGCACATAAGTTTCAAAGGAAATCTGAAGTATCCTTCGCATGGTGGATACATACATGGTCAGTCTGGCTTCCTCTATCCCTTCAATCCTTGACAGAAACATAAAAGGCTTTAGCATGCAATTCCTTAACAGCTGAGAGCCAGCTGAGAGTTGAACTCCAGTGGGAAGCAAACGCAGAAGCCCAAAGAGAGACCACTGCCTCAATCACTGTGCATCTTCCTTCTAAAGACACAGGGGAGAAACATCCTTCAGACCTCACTCTCAGGAA